TATTGGCATGATACTCCATAGTGTGTTTGAGCAAACTGACCTCAAGAATAAATGTATGTTTATGATTTCAAGCACACCTAAATGTATATCTGTAAAAGATCTGATATACGGTACTCATTTTTGGATAACTATTTTGTCATGCTCTATATATTTTTGTACTTTTAATCTGAATTGTAGGACAGTAATACCAACACCTTTCTTCGAGCAAAACTAAAGCCATCCAAAGGCATGAGATTCTCTTGTTCTGGTCATTTTTGGACAGGATCTCATTAACATCTCTGAAGAACACTGACTGGACGAGTAATGAAAAAAAAGTCTTCCCCAGAGATAACTGGTGTTGGCAGCATCTGCCTGTGCCAGTCTCCTCCTTCCCCATGCTGTCTGAATTGATATAGACTAGGTTGGCTGACCCTTCAAGCTTACAAAGCACTCAGAAGATTTACTGTACTGAGGTCTAGAGATGGGAAAACCAGGGAAAAAAACAGAAAAATTAGGAAAAAACTTTTTTTTCCTTTTTTTTAAGCCAATTTTGTTTTTTTTTCCAGAAAAATTGAAAAAAAAAAAGAAGTGTGGAATATGTTCTTTTACAATGATAAATAATATGTCTATGACATGGTATTCAAACTATATAACAGGAAGACCTTAATGAATGATTTCTGAGACTTTATGTGAAGTCTCAAATGTTGGAAATACTCTCAGCTGAAGCAAGCAAATCCTGGAATACAATTCAAGTAACATTGTAATTCTCAATGCCATTCTCAAATAAGTGAAATATTAATTTATGCCACTAGGGGCACTTCAGGGGAATGGCTCCAGTTTAGATTGCTTGTAGGCCCCATCTACCTCCTACACATTTTGTTAATGATTGTTGGGATACAGTAGGCATTAGTTTCTGTCCTCTCAGGCCTTAATTGACAGGTAAGAGGGTAAACTTGTCTGACAAATTACTTTATCTTTTTTAATCTTTTAATTATTCCTATAAATATTCTACACTATCATATCATAGTTGATTTTTCTTTCCCTCCTCTCAGTAAAATGGTGAGATCAACATCTAAAGTTTGGAAACATTTTCACAGTGCAATTTCTGCTGAAAGCAAAGCTGCAATTTGCAAATATTGTGAGAAGAAATATTCTTTTTCAAATGCTACAAGGATGACAAAACACATCCTTGCATGCCAGCGTATCCCTAAAGACAAAATGATTTTAAGTTTGTAAAACTACTCCACATTGAATTTTGTTCTCAATTTTCCTAAAAATGTCAATTTTTGTTCCATAAAAAAACAGGGAAATCACTTTTTTTTCTAACGGTTTACAATTTTGGGGAATTTACATGTCTACTGAGGTTAACTGGAATCAGCTTGCTTGTCCAAACCAGTGTCTCTCAACCTTTTTCCGGTAAAAGAACAATTTAAAATTATGGACAATCTCAAGGCAACAAATTCTAAAATGTAAAAAACAAACCTAATTGTGATGGGGGCGGCGTCAGACCCCAGCCCTTCTCACCAAACTCATGACCGAAGGACTAGCCAATCTAAAACCACGCTGTCACGTGCGTAACAATGCCACACCCAGCTGCACCCTGCACAACGATTTTCCAGCTAATTGGACCACAATCGATGTACGCCTGAATGCGCTTGTTACTGGGTCAGGTTAATTACGCAATTAACCCTTCACACTGCCACCACCTCCTTTTTATACAGAGAAAAAGGAAACTCAGCAATACACTAGGATGATTGGTTAACCGTCAGTATCCCGCTATCTCTACAAACTGGTTATACAGTGGGTTAAATACTCATAGTAGGGTTCTTCAGCGGCAGGGACTCGTAAGTTACATTCAGGAGCTATAGAAACAGTTCAACACTTTTAGAAAGTAAGATTTATTACTAAATTTATTACTAAAAGGTCAAAAGGGTGCAGTAGAAATATTTACAAAAAGAAGATGTAAACCAATATATATATATATATATATATAAATATACAGAGTACAACAGCACAGCAAACAGATAACAGAAAGAAGTTTAGGTAAATAAGTACTTGCCAAATAAATGCCTGGGGTTAAGCAGTTTCAAATCTGATGAGCTAAAAAGGGATTTCTGGTCTTGCACTCGGTTTCGTTGTTGCAGCGAGATTCTCCTTTGCTTTCTGTCTGTTAGATGTTATATCTCAGACGGTCCTCACTGCTCTGACTACATACAAAGCATAACAGCCTCTTTTTCTACACAAAATCAACTGGTATCTTCACTAACTTATTTGGCAAGAGGATTGTTTAAACAGCTATACCGAGCGCATTCCTGAGGGAGGGGGCGAAATGAGGGGATACAGAAACTTCTTAATACAGGGAGAGCCTGTGCCTGGCTCTTGTATGCATGATACTACACCCCCCCCCCCCCCGTCAGGTGATGGCATATGAGTTTAAGCGCAATACCAAAATGTAGAAGTTTGGGGTAAAAAATGGAGAACCGCACCTCTGCCTGTGGGCATGATTGTGACACTAATAGCATTGCATATTGCAGCAGCATCTACACACATATGACACCCAACATTAGAGGTTAATTAATATTTCAAAGTAGATGCAAAGCAATTCTTCCTCATTTTCTCTGCCCCATGCAGCTAATGACCCCAATACTGACAGAGAGGGGTGGAGGGTCAAACAAGAATGTTATGGCTGTTAGGAAACCTGTTGCTTTGTATAACAAAAAAGCAGGCTTGGTTCACCCATTGCCTCGTACACAATTTTTGAGCAAATTTAAGGCATTTTGCCAAGGCACCCATAAACAACACAGAAGGCACCCTGGTTGACAAAGGCTGGTTCAACAGACCTCTGATGTCTATGGGCAGCTTAAGGTTTTGTGTTTACATGTTTACAAGTACTATTTTGAAATATTCTATAATGTCTAGTGCTATACAGTATCATTCTGAAACTTAATTTTGCCTACCAAGGAACAAAATCTGAGTACTTTTATACACGCATCACTTAATTATTTTATCAGCTGCTCTTTTACATAATACAGTATAACCGTTGAATTGAAATATTGCCACTGCCCCATGACCCCAAATGTAAAACACCAGGCAAAATGTTTAATTTAAATTTGAGTAGAGCAGGGAAGGTTTATAGTCTCTGCCAGGTTTCTGTTGCCATCTGTGTCCCTATTGAGATTTCGCCTTACTTCACATCAGAACAGAAATTGATGGGAAATATCCCCCACAAAGGACATGATGTACAGATCTATAGGTTTTCCCAATACAATTTTTTTCCAGAAAAAAAACAGGGAAATAACTTTTTTCTGATGGCTTAAAGTTTTTGGAAATTTTATATCTCTACTGAGGTTAACTGGAATCAGCTTGCTTGTCCAACTCAATGTCTCTCAACCTTTTTTCCGGTAAATGCACCCTTTAAAATGATGGACAATCTCAAGGCAACCCATTCTAAAATGTAAAAAACAAACCTAATAGTTTTACATATTGCAGCAGCATCTACACACATAAGACACCCAACATTAGAGGTTAATTAATATTTCAAAGTAGATGCATTTTTGCACACTGGTGTGCAAAAGCAATTCTTCTTCCTCGTTTTCTCTCCCCCATGCAGCTAACGTGACCCCAATACTGACGGAGAGGGGTGGAGGGTCAAGCAAGAATGTTATGACTGTTAGGAAACCTGTTGCTTTGTATAACAAAAAAGCAGGCTTGGTTCACAAATTGCCTCGTACACAATTATTGAGCAATTTTGAGCAAATTTAAGGCATTTTGCCAAGGCACCCCTAAACAACACAGAAGTCACCCTGGTTGACAAAGGCTAGTCCAACTGACCTCTGATATCTATGGCCAGCTTAAGGTTTTGTGTTTACAAGTACTATTCTGAAATATTCTGTAATGTCTAGTGCTATATCATCCTGAAACTTAATTTTGCCTTGATGGGAAAATGTGCCCCCCACAAAGGACATGATGTACAAATGTCCCCCAAAGTGGACATGATGTACAGATCTATAATAAGTTTTCCCAATACAATTTTTTTCCAGAAAAAAAACAGGGAAATAACTTTTTTTTCTGATGCCTTAACATTTTTGGAAATTTTACATCTCTACTGAGATTAACTGGAATCACCTTGCTTGTCCAACCCAGTGTCTCTCAACCTTTTTCCGGTAAAGGCACCCTATAAAATGATGGACAATCTTAAGGCAACCCTTTCTAAAATATAAAAAACAAACCAAATAGTTTTACATATTGCAGCAGCATCTATGCACATAAGACACCCAACATTAAAGGTTAGTTATTATTTCAAAGTAGATGCATTTTTGCACACTAGTGTGCAAAGGCAATTCTTCTTAAATTTGAGTAGAGCAGGGAAGGTTTATAGTCTCTGCCAGGTTTCTGTTGCCATCTGTGTCCCTATTGAGATTTTGCCTTACTTCATATCAGAACAGAAATTGGTAGGAAATGTCCCCCACAAAGGACATGATGTACAGATGATGTATAGGTTTTCCCAATACAACATACAGAGCTTCACCAAAATCTTAAAGGAAATATTATCCTTAAATTTAGCCTCAGGCAATCTGTTTTTTGTATTTCCACTTTCAACCTGTGTAGGTGAGGTTTCAGTAGGCTGACAGAAAGCCTCTCCTTCAGACCATAACAGTGGCCTTACCTATCTGCTGGGTAAGGTTATACAGCAGAAGTTGAGGATAGTGGAACTATATGTCCTAGATTGTAAGCTCCAAGGAGCAGGGCCCTCCTATCCCTCTTGTATTGAACTGTATTGTTGCTGTATTGTCTCCCGTTATATTGTAAAGCGCTGAGCAAACTGTTGGCGCTATATAAATCCTGTAAGGAATTAGTAAAGCAGCCAGCCATAGAAGATGAGCACCTTGCCAAAAACTAGATCTATCCAGCAGGTATGCTCTACTTCGTATAAATGAAAAATGTGCATTTTTGACTGGAGTGTATCTTTACATTTCTGTTGTGCTTAAAAAGCAAAACTCTTTATTGGAAAGTAGGTTTACCATCATTAACACAGTTGCAGAATCCACACTGGTATCGCCTTCCTCCTTCAATGAAAAGCATGAATGGGCACATATAAGCTTTACATCGGTTACAGCGGATTGGTCCATTTTCTCCATGGTTTACAAGATAAAGAGGAGTCTAGAAAATAGAGAAATACTGTGTTGTTAAAGCAGTCATGTATAACACTACAATAATGATGATTGTATATATTTCACCTACATGTACATACATTTACGTATACACGTGCTTCTATATTGTAAAGTGATGCACAAACTCTTGGTGCAATATAAATCCTGTATATTAATCATAATATTAGTAATAATGTGTTTACTGTGCGCCTTTGCATGGTACATCACAATCGTAGTTGTGTTCACATACATTTTCTTCTGTATTTTTACTGTTCAATAATTTGATAGAGCCAACCTAAGAACCAGATCTAATAACTGTACATGTGGGCTGCTTTTAAAAAGTGCATGTTGTGAAGTGGGGTGGTTCAGAGACCATCAAGTGTGCATCAAATACTTCACATTAATGCAAAGATTATTAACTGAAATGACACTTTGGAATAAACAATATTGTTAGTATTCTGTGTCATGAACTAGGGATAAAGGTGACTGTTGATGTAAAATGGCACTCAGATCATTATTGCAAAATTCTGAGTATCAAATAATAATTTTTTTCAGGGTGGGGGAATCTAATTCTGCCCATTCTAATTGGTTCCCCCTCTTAAAATTGATCTGCCCACGCCACCTAATCTATCCTAAATCATCCAAACTAATGATCATTTTTTACCTTTCCATAAGAAAGCAATTTATAATTGCTTTTAGAAGCATCGCATCAACCTCCTTTTAACAGACTAAATTTAACGCGCTGTAAGTGAAGCATGTGTCAAAATAATGTCATGCTGATATGTAACTTTACGTTTAGTTTGCATTTTTCGGTGTTTGGTAAAATGAAAACCAAAGGTAAAGCATTTCAGTTACTATTGTATATAAAAAAAAAGGGCACAGAACTTAACAACTTCCATCTTGTTGCAGCCCGAAGATTCAGATCACTGCCCAATCTGTCATCTGGGAGCCAATCTCATCTGTAGGAGTGACAGCAATTACATTTTCCCCCAGTCATGGCATGCCAGCTGAAATACAACTATTGCCTGCCATCTGGATGTGCACCAGTACAAACCGAGTACATGAGAGTTGCCATTTTGGTTTTATAAAATAAATGTCACAATTTTTTATTGCACAAGATTCATGTGCTTTTCTCTGTTTTTTGTCAAGAACTATTTTATGACTAAAAATTACAACTAACAGCTGCATTACATTACTTCAGTTTTCTAACCGCTGAGTGAAGCAACTCTACCTCGTTTTACAACTATAACTGCTACCATACCCAAAGATCTCCCTAGGTGTCAGTATACAACCGAGAGAATCAGCAGTATACAGAAAGTCAAGAGCAAATTCCAAGGCATATCAAATTGCTGAGTGGTTATTTCCTCATTAATCTAATTAAAATAATCAAACCAGTAAAAAAAGCATTATGTTAGCTTGGAAAATTGATAAAACCGTATAACAGCTGCTATCATCATAAACATAGTAAAAATGTGTTTATGTAACTGCCTGACTTTATGGCATGGTAACTACACTATTTTATCACAAGTCAGACGCTCAGTTTAGTGTTGCATTAGAGGTTAATATATGCTAGAAATTGAGTCATGTTTTCACTTAAATCCTAAAGTAGATGCATCTCCAATTCTGTTCCGGAACTTTCATTGAAGATGAAATCTGGTATTGTGGTCATAGGCAGCAAGGGCTTACGTCACATAGTCAAACATTGCCCTGGTGAAAAACTTAGAGGGCTTATCTTTTTTCCATGCTTGCATATTCCAGCAGCAAGAAGGATAAGCTAACTCTCCCACTTATATACATCTTTGCCTTTGTGTAGAGCAAGGCGTTTATCACCAGCTATACCTCACCAGTCTATGGCTGTAAGAAGATAACACAAGGGGCGACCTCTTTGTACAGAGACTTGATCCCACATCACTAGGTCTAATTAAAACACAACATGCCTCACTTCTCTCTGGACCTGCTGCTGCAGATAGTTGCCAAGCAATCCATGTATTTATTTGTTCACTTATCTGCTTTAACAGTGACAGACAAATGATTTCAGTACCTGCTTGGCATTTTGATGTATTTTCAGACTTGTCATCGAACACATAAAAAGGTCAGGTGCATTCCCAAAATACTCTTGCCAAAAAAATCATTACTCATTAAAATCATTAAAAATCATTACTATAGATATTTTTATTACTTAGTTGTTTTCTGTTCAAATGATAATGCAAATGCAATTATTGTTCCTGGCAAGAGTGCACACAACCTTGAGAGCACATACACTATATTGCCAAAAGTTTTGGGACACCCCTACAAATCATTGGATTCAGGTGTTCCAGTCATGGATCACATGCAGACTGCTTCTACAAACATTTGTGAAAAAATGGGTTACTTTTAGGAGCTCAGTGAATTCAAGCGTGGTACCGTGAGAGATTGCCACCTGTGTAATAAATCCAATCTGCGAAATGTCCTTCCTACTAAATATTCCACGGTCAACTGTTAGTGGTATTATAACAAAGTGGAAGCAACTGGGAACAACAGCAGCTCAGCCACGAAGTGGTAGGCCACGTAAAATGACAGAGCAGAATTCGCCAACTGTCTGCAAAGTCAATAGCTAAAGACCTCCAAACTTCATGTGTCCCTCAGATTAGCACAACAACAGTGCATAGAGAGCTTCATGGAATGGGTTTCCATTGCTGAGCAGCTGCATCCAAGCCTTACATCACCAACTGCAATGCAAAGCATCGGATGCAGTGGAGTAAAGCACACAGACACTGAACTCTAAAACTTCTACCACACTACACCAGATTCTGTGTGTTCCAGTTTTAGTAAATAACCCCCAAGCAGACAAGGTACTGATGGTATCCATAACCAGCTCTAGCTCAGCAGAAGCACTCAGACCATAACAATTACAAAAACACAAGTCTCTTTCAATTGTAAAAACTAACTATTAATTAAGAATACTAAAAGGTTTTGGATTGATGTAGATGATTTTTATTAGTCTGCTATATTTATTATTGTTCAGTCACAGACCTGCTTCCCATAATGTAAAAAAACCTGTGCCTCACCAGCAGAAAATCTGCATAGTCAAAGGCCAACCTCATAAAATGCATGCTACATAACTGTGTACACTACATACGACTCTTAAAGATGATTTGTACTAATCTCAGTAAAGGTATATTTATAATTATGAGGCCCCATTATAAAGTGAAATATATTTATTACCTAAGAATTCCATTGTATTTAAAATCACTTGCAGTTTCCCGGATTGGCAAGACAGCAGGGTAATGCCCGTGGCCAATGTTTGCAGAAACTCTCATGAATTAAAACAGTGTGGCCACTAAAACACCTTACTGCATGCGCAGAGCATGTTTTCCTGAATACCAATACCTATATTACCACTCTACAGCCCGATAGCTTGACAGGAGCCAGTCCTTGAACAGAACTTTAAGGTGGGTTAAAAAGTAAAGAATTATATTTTTAGAACAAAATGTTATTCTGGATGCATTATATTGCATTTTCTAGATCAGAGGATTTCAACCTCCGGGCCGCAGCCTCCGTTCTGCTAGGCTTTATTTTTGCTATCTGCTATTTTGCTGTCTCTTTCCTGATTGGTCATCTTGCTGGCAGCGTGTAGGAATCATACCGGCACCAAGGGTGCTGAAATCACGGAAGTCTATCTTTGCCATGCAAGTCCAATGTGAGGGCCACCAGGCATGAAGGTGGCCAAGGAAGAGGGCTCATTCACAGAGATTTTGCCTAGTATAAATTGTAAGATCAACTATATAACTGGGTGTTCTGAGAATGTCATTCAGGAGCTAGAGGAACATCTCAGGGTCATCAGTTTCCTTTCAGCACATACAATTCAGTTCCTGTGTGCTGTACAGGTGTTTTAAAACTGTCACATCTCTAGGTGCACAGACATGAGACTGTGCTCAGAGGGTGACTACTGGCTGATTCCACTGCATTGGAGTGATCGTGGCAATAAAGAGCATGCTTGTATTGTCCAAGCATGCATGGATGCAGTGAGCTGGTATTTTTTTTAGGTTGTTTAAAAGCTATTGCAGAGGTTGCAGAGTACGCATAGATATTTCCATCCCTCATTGTTGTCAGATGGACAGGGTGTTAATTATGCCAATTATGAAAAATTAATGCCAATATATTCACAAAGAAGTTAACACGCAAGCGCATGAATCAATTCACAAAAGCACTGCATGCGTGTCCACCAGCTAGAGCGCAACTTACCCATTTCAAGGGCAATGCCCTCTTCCACAGAGCTCACCCTTGAAAGGCATGAGCTGCACTCTAGCTGGTGGACACGTGTCCAGTGGTTTTATGTGAATAGGTTTATGCACTTGCTGGTTACTTTGTGAGTATATTGGTATTCACTTTTTATTCAGTAAAGAGTCTCCCAGTAGTGCACTAGGTTGGTGCACCTACTGTACATCCAATGCTTGTTTTTCAGTAATGGCTTCCCCTGAACTGAATAGGGCAGCAAAGCTGACATAGTGCATGGAGTAGAGGGTGTCAGATATGAAGTTATCCAGTTGTTTCTGCTGAGATTTACAGTGGATATAAAAAGTCTACACACCCCTGGTAAAATGTCAGGTTTCTGTGATGTAAAAAAATTAGACAAAGATAAATCATTTCAAAACTTTTTCCACCTTTAATGTAACCTATAAACTGTACAAATCAATTGAACAACAAACTGAAATCTTTTAGGTGGAGGGAAGTAAAAATAAAAAACTAAAATAATATGGTTGCACAAGTGTGCACACCCTTAAACTACTACTTTGTTGAAGCATCTTTTGATTTTATTCCAGCACTCAGTCTTTTTGGGTATGAGTCTATCAGCATGGCACATCTTGACTTGGCAATATTTGCCCACTCTTCCTTGCAAAAACACTCCAAATCTGTCAGATTGTGAGGGCATCGCCTGTGCACAGCCCTCTTCAGATCACCCCACAGATTTTCCATCGGATTCAAGTCTGAGCTCCTCCTGGGCCATTCCAAAACTTTAATTTTCTTCTG